CACACACACACACACACACACACACACACACACACACACACACACACACACACATGCTTATGTTATGATAGATAAAATTTATCTATTTATAAGTGAAACCTAGCACTTATTAGGAAAAAAAATTCTTCATCTCTTGCAGACATAATGGTAACATAATAGTATGGATCTAGGCAGAAATTCTCACCAATTAATTTTCATCATTAATTAATTTCACTTCCAGTTGATCCATTCAATTTAAGTTGACTAGAGATACGAATTAAACCAGTCAGAACTTATTTATGCCCGTATATCTAGATGTATTGTTCAAAAAGCTCATGGAATCAGGATTCTTTGGTATGAATCAAATACACATATATATAAAAAAACACTGCACTAGAATCATTGCCCAAAGTGCTGAACAGCACAATGGAACTTAGTCTAAATAAACCAATGTAAATGCTATTTCAGAAATATCAGCTATGTTTTAGCTGATATTTCCCCACCGTCTCAAAAGGTGACAATAATTCTCCTCAGCCAGACATTGGACACCCAAGCATCATCGTTGACAGCTCTTCCTCTGCACTCAGCATCCCCCCCTCCCAGTTCATTTTATCTTTTGTATTAAATAATAGTTAAAACAAACAAAAAAGAAAGGAGGGATATTTTCCCTTCCTCAAAATGTTTAGCTGCCAACTTTTTAACCAACCTCATTAAAGGCTCTGGATACTCAGTCATAATTTTAATACAAGATACTTGTTGATAAGATTGTTATGTGGTTAGGTTTTTTCCAATGTGCAACTATACCGGAATGGGATTTAAAACAACATTCAGAAGACAGGCTTTTCCAGAAACATAAAATGACAGACATTTGTAATAGAAATGTATAAAGAGAGAGGGGGGAGAGGGGAGAGGAAGGGAAGGAGGGATCAGCATAATCAGCAGCAAATGACCTTCCATCTCTGCTGAAAAGTTATTTATTGGAAGAGGTAATGAAAGGAGACCTTTCTGCTTACCCTTCATCCTGACACAGAATGGAATCAATCAGGGGGAGAATATGCAACAAAGCTTCCACTGAACCAGAGGTGGGTTCCTACCAGTTCGCACCTATTCGGTAGAACTGGTTCGTCAAATCTACCGAACCGGTTAGAAGAGGTTCCACCAGTGGAC